CCAGACCAATGGCACCAGCACAGCAACTCTGGTGTTTCCCCATTTGCCCTGCCAGTAAGCCAGAAGCCTGTACCAAGTGGACTGCAAACATCAATCCAATTTCTGTCTCCCAGCTATATTTAAGTCTAGATTTGGCACTGCATATACCATGAGACTACTCTGACCTGAAACCTGCTCTCAATATGTCTGGACAATTTTTCTGATCAGAGTTAAATACCAAGTATCTACTATTTTTGTTTATTTTTTTAAGTGCTCTGTGGTTAGGAAATAGGTTGGACCACACAATTCAGGAACCTCTGCAGCAATATGTTCTTAATGATACAGAGAAGTAGAAGAAAAAGAGCTTCTTATCCCCATGAATTGCAAGAGTATAAATAGACTGTGGCAGTTTCCTAATTCTCTTGTCAAGAGAATTGGGCGCAATTCTTTGTGTGTTACTGTGGTAAATTAAGGACAAAACCCGCTTGATTTTTGGCAATGCTATTTTCTTTAGAGGTCAGTTTAAACACTGACCAATTGCAGATGCCCCATTTTTGGGCCTGAGGAGCACATCAGGATGCCATGCACAGTACAGAATGAGGTACTCACTAGGTACTCTCTCTGCATAGGATTCCTCTGGTAGGTGCTCTCCTTGCAGGGCTTCCTCTTAGCACTCACTGAGAAACTGGGGAGTTAGCAGTTTGGGGCCCCAGGCTGTCCCCGCTCCCAGCATTCTTTGGGAAGGGGGGATTACAAGGAAGACCTCATCCCTATTTTCCACATTACTACACCTTGGGATCTATACTCCATTCAACACAAATCTCCAAGAACATTTTTTCTGCTGACAGTGAGAGAAAAAGCAGAACAGTGAACACAATGCCTTTCAGAGCCTTGGTTCCAGTCTCACCCCACAAACTCAGGGAACCTTGTTCAGGATTGGGGTCCTTCCTTCCTAACCCCCAGGGAACTTGCTTTGTCCCTGTCTCATATAGTCTCTTACAAACACAGCCACTATGGGCTATTAGACCTTTTACAGACAGCAAGGAAAACACCGGTCAGTAAATTTGACTTCTATCAGGTCAAATCTAAATTACCCTCTTGACAACACTGCCTAAGAAGCTCATAAAACAGTGTGTCTGTTGGTTATATGACTTGGACAAACAGCATCAACCTTTATCTACAAGAACGTTTGCTTACTGAGTAAAAAAAGAAACCTACAAAACATAAAAAAGTAACATACCACAAGTTGATAATTTCTGATGGACCTTTAAGTTCCTCCTATTTTCAGACTTTTAGAAATGCTCCTTAATGTGTCAACTTAAAACATTCAGCCACTGAAATCCTTACTCTGTGAAGCAAAGCTGCCCCTTTGATTTGATTTGCAGAATGGCCTCACAAGTCAACGTAATTCTGATTCCCCTGCTGATAGCAGCAACACAACCGACAGCTGGCTGAAATGAAGTAATGAACACAACAGACAGCACTTATTAAAGAATCAAATAAAACTCTGAATACATCAATCAAAAATAAGCATACAACCAATATTTTCTGGCAATCCATAGCTGGGAGATGAAGAGGAAAGCACAAACCCAGGCTCAAACAGTAGGTTACTTAGGACAGCAATTGTCATTTTTGTTTTATGGGTCTGCAATGCCTGTCTCAGCAGAGCTCTAACCCTGATGGGGGCCATTAAGCAATACTTCAGTATAAAGAGAAATTAAATTAGTAACACCCAGCAAGGTACCCCTGCACGCAAGGTATTGTCAGACAAGTTTTATGTGTGGCTTTCTAAATGCCAGTTGACTTCAGCAAGAATCAAGGGCATGCACCATTTTGTGAGGAGGGAGTAGTCATTTAAAGCATTTCTCTCTCTCTGCAGTAATCAAAACAAGTTATAGCCAGGCTACAACTATATGTCTAGTTTGAAGACTGCTTGTCTGTGTGAGACAGAACCATCTGGATTTACTTTACAGTTAACTTTAAAATATATATATATATCAAATTTCTTAACTTTTGCCAAACAACTGGAAACATAATGGTTTATGCATGCTGTTAGCATCTCACTACAGCTGCAAATGTCCATTAGGACAATCTTATACAATTATATACTTATTCTTCCCATGAAATTGTTAAAAACCCAGCTTTTTCAAATAAGAACATATTTTGTAGTGAAGAGGAAATCTTCCAGTTCACCAGGTTGGAATGGGGGAGGGAAGTCTTCTAAAGCAAAACTTTACTCAAAGCTTTTCTTTTTAAACTAACATAAAAATTACAAGTCTTAGTGTGTTAGATTTTTCCAACTGTACCTCTAGTGTGCTCTGGCCAGAAATCTACAATTTCTTTCCCTTTTCCTTCCTTTGTGGAAGAAGCTCATTCCTTCTAAGATTTTTTTTTTTACCAGAGAGAAAAAAAAAAAGCAGCTTCCCCCACCACACCTTTTCCCAACTCTTCCCTCTGGATGGATGGGACTTTACAGTTCAACAGACTGTCAGTGGCACCTGGTGCCACTGGGTGGCTGCCCTTGGGAGCTGTCCCCCAACAGCAGCGATCTGTGCACAGAACATGAGCAGGCTGGATGCAGGCAAGGCTCCAGGGATGGGGGGTGATCTGTGTGTTCAAAGCACTATCATCAGTTTGGCAAAGATTTTCAGAAATTACCAATAACATGGCACATGCCAGTTTTTAGGAGTCTGAGGTAACAGTTCAACTTTCCAGAAGGCAGGTGCTTACCTCTTCCAAAATAAGAGCCTTCCTGCTGTGTTTTCTATGTGTCCAGGCTCAAAGCACTCCAAGTCATTGGCCACTCTCAAAACCTCTCAGCAGCTAGGATTTTTTAGTTAACAAAAACAAAACTAATGGAAACACAAACAACTAGTCCCAAAAATTGGACACAATCCTGTGCAATGTGCTCTAGGATGACCCTGCCTGAGCAGAGAGATTGGACCAGATGACCCAATGTAGTTCTTCCAATCTTACCCATTCTGTGACTTTTCCAGGAGGTGAGTGACCTTCTGTACATGTTCTCAGGACCCTACAGAGAGGAGGGAACAGGGCTTATATTGTTTTGACAGCTATTCAGACAGAAAAATACTTATTTTTCAGATGCCTGCCATCTGAAAATAGCAATACCACAAAATGCTGTAAAATGCTATTGATCTCATCAGAAACACAGCCTTGGTCAGGGACAAGCAACAGAGCACTGCCCATCCTTGGGACACACAGACCTCACAGAGCAGCCTCCTCTCACCAGCACTGCCAGTCTGCTGGATCACCATGTTACCCATACTGGGTCACCTGCAAGGATAAAGATAAAGATAAAGAAACTTTGCTAATTTCTGTTATATGGGGTCTGTATCTCCTCCTCCACACAGTTTCTCTATTATCAGTATAGAAATAATTTACACCGCAACCTTACAAGTTATCTTAGAAGGCACAGCAGGTTTCTAGCATCCAAGCTCTTTCTCATTTTAAGAGTGACTATTTGAATAATTGGCAGGGAGGAGCTTGGCTGCTTGGTAATGCAGAATCTTGGCTAGAGTGATGCTGTTAGCATGAAACAGCAGCAGATCCAATGCCCAGAACTTGAACTGAAACTGTTTGTTATTACTGCACATCTGTACTGCAGCATTAGCCACAGGCCATGACCAAGTCTGGCCCTGGTCCTTCTTGGATTAACTTCTATATTTTAAACAGACAGGGGATGACAAAGGTGATAGAAAGGATTTAATGCAACATTAAAAATAACTCACAGAGTCAGGAATTTGTGTCCTACTGAAAATTAATGGCAACTACCACAGGACTTGGGTACTTCGGAAAAAAATGGTCAGGCAGCCTGGATCTTTGGCAGGGCACAGGCATTTGCAGTCACAGAAGGCTGTTTCTGTTCTTGCAAGAAATGAAAAAAGTTCCACAAGAGATTTCTATCAATAGCTGACTACTTTTTGCAGGCACTGGTGTGACAGTAGAGAGCACTGTGAGGCAGAAAGATAGGCAAGCAGCGCATGCAGGTCTGCTCAGAGATATTCCCAGGATAGCCAACTTAACAGAAGAAAAAAGGTCCAGAGACCAAAGGGTTACTTCCAGTATCACACACTTGCCCTGACTGGTCTCTTTGCCTCTTTTTCCCACTCTCAGACAGAAGGCAAAGATCTGAAGAATTTCTCTTAAGAAATATCAATACTCACATGACAGCTGGATATTAGATCGTTGCAAACCTAGTTCCAACAGCACCAAAATCTCTTCCTAATGCAGTGGTTCAAGTTTCAGGTCTGAGACAGGGTTTGCTGCAGAACAAACCCTCTGCCCAGGCAGCTGCTCATGTGTGATCCCCAAACCCTTCAGCTCTGTGGCCATGAAGATCACCGCAGACCAAGTACTGGAGTGGAAGAGGTGTGGCTCTGACACCAGGGGACCCAGCTTTTATCTGTGATGAACCTGGCTGTGACTTACCAGAGAAAGTTCTAGGCTTTCTTCAGCAGGAAGTCTTGGAGCTCTTTAAGGACGTAGAGAATTTTTCAAAGGCTGGAGGATGCACCTCTGCCTCTAATTGGCGAGCTGTGCTCATGTCACCAGAACTGAACCACGCTAAGCACCTTGTTCCTCTCAGCAAAGAAAGGCATTTCATAAGTTAGATGGGTACTGAAAGGGTTGGCACTGGAGAAAACTAAAACAAGAAGTAGGGAAAGATGGTCTTATGGTGAAGCATATGCAAGAGAAAAGGACCTTATCAGGATGCCACCTCTCTCATTGCCCATTGTTGTGCCAGTGCCAAGTGACTAGTGCACAGCATGACAGCAAACAGCGGTGCAATACTCCTCACCCATATGCAGCAGTAAACACAGCATCGGCTTTGACAGGGGGACAACATCAAAGATAATATTTGTTATAGTCAACATGCAGGCATCATGTTATCTTAGTCACACCAAGACTAGGTAACTAAACTGCCAGGTTTAGTGTTTCAGGTCACATCAGGGAATAGTTTTACCAGCAGATATAAAGATCGTCATTTGGAGTGGGTAGCACTCAAGGTCAGAGTCAGCAAATCCTCCTCTAAAAATAGACTCTACTTGCACAGTTAGTAAGGTTTCTTTTGTCGTTCTGCTGCACTTCACAGGACCCAGTTACTTACAGCACCCACCTAAGCTTACAGGTAAGGCTAAGCAATATATATTTCCTGCTGTACTTCTGCTCCTTTTTCCTTCTTTTTGTAACCTGTTTTAGTAAAGCAGGGAGAGGACTGAGAACTGGAAAATTTGTTGAGGTAACTATTAATTTCATTAGCTTGTTGCAGAGAAAAAAATTATTATTATGGACTCAAAAAGGTTTTGAAAGTATAATGTATAATTTAGAAAATCAAACTTGTGTTACAGAAATCGCTTTAGAAATTAGGAAATTAGGTGTTGAAAGTGTAATTATCTTGGAGGTAATTTCAATGTAAAAGTTAGGGAATGAAAATGCAATTTTTAAAGACTTTAACATCTGTCCCAGAATATTTTGCTTATTCTTCAATAATTGCTCCACCCTCCAGTCAAATCTAGCTTTTCCAATTGAATTAAAAATCTCTCCAGTGATGCTGTGTTTTAAGTTTCCTTGGACACTCTAATAATATTTAACAAAATCTCAGCTTTATCTGTTTTCAATTAACCAGTCCAGTCAACAATAAAGAATAAGGGCAAGAATAAGTTTTTAAAAAATCATATGTGTCTTAGAAATTCATTGAAATAAGTGGTTAGTTTTGAATATTCACAGCAGGAGGTTCTGGGAAATAATTGCACAGAGGCTACAATTATTCTGGGTTTTAAACTGTTTAAAGATGACTGCAATAGATGAACTATTTTATAGTCCATGAATGCTTTAAGCATAAGAATGCAGGGCTAAAATAAAGGAACTGAAGTAAATGAATTTTGGTGAAGACTTAGACAGGAATAAGGAACATAGGAGTAGGATTATACTTTTTGCTTAAGTATACTGCAAATCCAGTTTTGGAATTTGGTGAATTTTTTTGGGGGTCTTTTAGAGAAATATTTTTTGAAAGACTTCTCCATCGCATAAAATATTTGTAAAGAAAAATAACCTTTTTGGCCCAGTGTTAGGGAAAAAAACCCCAACAAAACAAAATGGGACATAACCTCACCCAAGGAGCCTTTGCAGCACCACAGCTCATTGCAGTGCCCTGGGGTGCACCAAGTGTGAGGTTACAGGGGAAGCACACAGCTCTTCCTGGCTGCTGCCAGCCTTCGAGTCCGAGCGAAACAGCGTGGGGTGGCATATCAGGGAGCACCATTCTCAATTCATTTCAGTAAATCATCTGACAGAGCAAGCCTTTGTCACTGCAGCTGACCAGCTCTCAGCTCAACTGATGGGCTTTGAGTTAAAAAAAGCTTAGAAACCAAAGCACTGTTTGCCCTCCTTCCAAGTGCAAACACTGTGCCCCAGACATGTGCATTGGCTTCTGCAAGAACTTTTCAGTTTATAAAACAGTCTTCTGCTTAGTCATACTCAAAAAGGGCAAGCACTTTTTCATCCTGAAGGGAGGTATGCATCTGGCATGTGGGCTGGAAATGGAAGAAGAGAATATTTCTTAAACATTCAAAAACTTGCTGAGTAGATCCTCCCTCACTATTTCTGTAGATTCTCAGCCATTAGATCTGATTTTTTTTTCCTGCCTTCAGCACTAAGCAAGTGCTTACTTGAAGACCACTTACTAAATTAGATTCAAGTCTTCTGCACATTTTTTGAAAGTGTAGAAATGGTATTCTCTATCCTTACCTTCACTTGGGTCCTTCCTTCTCATACACACTTGTTACAAACATTGTTCCTCTATGAGTTCTTATCTAAAGTGGTTATTAAAGTGAAAGAAGAAAGTAAATAAAAATAAAACCATTAATTTTTCAGTTGTCTGTAAGGCAATGTCTCAATTTTTACTCCTAGAAGAGTACAAGTCCAACAGCTTCCATGATGTTAAATTCTGCCTGATAAATCAAAACATTCAAATAAGTCTGCCCTGTACCCAAGATCAGAAAAGAAAAGGGAATAATTTGTTAGTAAGAACCTCTTCATGCACAGAAATGATTTCTCAATCAAAATTACATGATTTTTTTCCTTCTTTTTTGTTCTTCTGCTGGATTTAGTGTTCATGGCAGTAGATTAACTACTTTAGTCCCCAGTTTTGAGGATCAAACTACCAATTAATTTCAAAGTCACAGTTTTTATCTCCTATTGCACCGAGATGGGTATAAAGTCCAGTAGATATGTCATTACTTTTGTAGAATCCTTATGAAAAGCTCAGTGCTGATCAGTAGTTTTCTTTCCTTCCCTTATCACCTTGGAAAAAAACTTCTGATTATATCACATTTCCATTCCTTTTTCAGAGCTGACAACAGGTAGGAAGCAAAATCTGAAAGCATCAAAACAGGAATAAGATTAAAATCTGCCTCCACATTTACAAACAGGTTGTATATTTAGGTGTTTGCTAAATGCTAAAAACTTTCACTTCTCAGCTTAACCAGGTGAATTTGTGATTGTCTGGTATTTTCAGGGAGAAATTGCTTTTAGACAACTCTGAGAACAAAAACAAGGACTGTACATGTGTGCACATCAAATTAAATTTAATAAAGCCAGCCATCAAAAGCACCACTAGCACAAGTGATCAATGTCATTAGAGCTGGGAGAACTTCCAAGAGCAGGACACATCGGTGGCAAAGAATTTAAACTATTCTGTATAAATATGGATTGAAGTGGGCATTAAAGCAAGGAAACCCTGTGCCCTGCATGATAGAACAGCTAATACTTCTAAAGGAAAGAGTAAGGAAAATTGTCTTCTCTCCATTTTTCTTCCCAGTTTTTACTTGTTTAGCCTCTCTCATTGCATATTTATGCCAATGCCACTGGGCTCTGACTTCATTGAAGATCTGAAGATTCAGGCACACAAACACAGCTACAAGTTGGCAGCCAGAGTACCTATGGGGGGGACAACAGCAGTGATAGAGGAAACCCCTGTGACAAGGTGGGGTGCAGAAAAGGAAAGGATATATAGGCCCTTGCACAGGACAAAGGCAAAAAATGCATTCCTTGGCTGTGCATGCCTGATTTTTTTAAGTCTCTACAGCTGACTTGGGTCTTAACTCCCAGGCATAAATCTTGCCAAATTGTTTGGCATCTTTATACACAGCACTAGGGCTTGCACAGCACGTTGAGCAGAAAATATTAATATTAAGAAACATAGTATTTTGTTATGTAACTAATGACTCTACAGCTTTCTGTCTCAAAGTGCTCAGAAACTTCCACTACACATGGAAAACCAGCATCAGAAACATACACAGCACCACCAAGGCTCTGATGTTCACTTCTAGATAAAAAGCTCAGTTTTCCTCCCCCATCTGTGGGATTACCAAACTGTAGAGCTTGTGACTGACATTTCCAAAAGCATTAACTCACCCCTAAAAATTTTGTTGTGGGACTAGACATCCCAAATTTAACAGATTTGAAAATGGGCCACTATATTCTATGACTTCACAAGGCCTTATTGGAAATTTTGGGTTAATTTGAATAGTTCAAGGGACTTCAAATATGGTGCAGAAGGCAAATCTTTCACTGCCGTATTAGTGCTCCAGCCACTGGAGTCTGTGCTCTGTCATGGTCTGAATTAAAAAGCAAATAGACTGGCAGATTTTTCTTTTTTTTTTTTTCCTTGCACTTTATTTCCTCCCTCCCTGCTTTGTTAAAAATATAATAAAAAAAGCTAAAGAGCTGTATAAGAAATTCCATCTGGCAGCTGTAGAGTAGATAGTGAACATAAAGAAGTGATTCCTTTGCTGTGCCTAATGCATGCTGCTTATCCAAATTAGCCACACAATTACTTCTATCAATGCAAAACTAGTTTAATGTTTTTTTTTTCTAGTGCACAGCACTTGAGAATGACTTAAAATGCAGTGTAATTTGCCACAGTGGATGTCCTGAAGTGGCTCACTAATGAAAAGAGGATTAACTCTCCATTATTCTGAATTACCATTTTGTGAAATCACTAACAATATTTTCATTTATATACATATAACCCAAGGGGGACAAATATTCCAGCCATCCAAGCGATTAACAAATAAAATTTATTAGATAACATGTACTTTGGTCTTATTTATGAAGAGAAAGATTAGGGTATAAAAATGCAGATGACTGGATTTTTATCATCCTTGTTCTGATAATACCCTTAAGTCCATGACAGCAGGACTGGCGTTGTGTTCAGCGCTGTGTGCACACGCTGGATTGAGGGCAGAACCCGCGGGATGCGAGGCTCAGCAGGCACAGGCTCACAGTCTCACAGACTTCAGCACCCACCCAGCTGTGCCCAGCCACCACAGGTGCCACAGAGAGGGAACAGGAAGGTCTCACCAGCTCACACAGCCTGCCCTTGGCACAAGCCAGAAGAATGAGAGGGAAGCTCTGCTCTGGGCACAGGGAAAGGATGGGATGAGCAAAAGACTGCCCTGCCTCTTTGGGAGGGAACTCTTGGCCCCAGATACAGGGCTCTGTTCCTCGGTATGTCCTGAAGCTGGGCTCAGACCTTCCTGCTGGGGAGAACCCTCTGGGACAAGGGCAGTTCCACAGCCAGCTGACTTTTCTTCCCCATGAAATAAAAAGGCTGTCCTGAAGCAGCATTTCCAGAAGCAGGCAGGGTGCAGAGTTCTTTATGCAGAGGATGTAAGGACAGTCCCTACACCAGAGAGCTTCCACATGACCCTGGGATTAGCTCTTTTGGTCAGAGCAAGGTAGTAATAATTCCAGGCTCACAATCTCCATGTGGGCCATTCACTTACCCTTATTCTTGTGGGTCTCTTCCAACTCAGGCTGTTCTGTGATCTAAGGTTGTGTATCCCCGACACAGTGCAGTGCTATGAAGTGACTGCCAAGCTAGCACAGCACTGGTACACCATTCAGCCTGCACTAACTCATCTATAGCCACATGAAGCACCACAAGGGGTGAAAAGCCTGCTCCAACAAGCCTGTGCAGAGGTAACCCTGCAATCTGGCTGCCACTGACTGCACTGGGTGAGCACTCTGCAAGAGAAGGTCTCCTCTCCACACTACTCTGCCAGAGAAATCTGAGCTTTCCCTGCCTGGACTTGCGCTAAACATTCATCCCTTATACCCACAACAGCATTAAGAACTACTAAAAAAAATCCAATCTATTTTTCACTTTTTATTCCAAGAGGGCTGGCCTTGGGAATAGTCTTCCTGGACCTCTGTTTGGTGTATATAGAACAACTAATGTGAGATGAGGTTAGACATCTTTGATTCCTGGGAAGATGCAAGCCCTTCTGCCGCCAGCTAAATGCTTCATGGCAATTATTTCCAGAGTTGAAATAGCAAACCAGCCCTTTTGCCCCCTTTTCCCTCCTCCTAGTTAAACTCTGTTACTTCTTACATAGTCTAGAGTCAAATCTGAAATACATGTTTTATTAGAGGAATTTCAACTGATGCTTTCCTGTGCTCTAATTCAATTTAAAAATCCCTGCAGCAGATAACATTGGCAAGGCATAAAAGAACATAGTGTACTTGAAAGTTCAGGGAGCATGTGGCTTCCCAGGACAGACAGAAACACGGATTTCTCAGCAGTGGTCGAGCTTTCAGAGTGTTAACCAAGCTTCAAACTGCGCCGGTGTTCCAGTACCACAAATGATCATTTGCAGACGTAATTGCCCTGTTCTGAGGTGTAACAAATCAATGCACTGTGGCCACCAACTGTGATTACTGATTACATTGCTTTCTCTTCTTCCTTTCCTCCATCCCATGTTATGGAGCAATGAATAAAAGCAGTCAGTCCTTCAGCATCAAGGCAACAGGCTCTCAGCTATAATTCTTTACTAGACCAATAGCAGTACTTATCAATTTCTAGATAACAGCCTTATCACTCCTGAAGTCTGTCTTAGATTTGTATCTCTGACAGACAAACATTATCTACACTGCTGAGTCTGCATGTAGAATTAGCATAATTCTGGCACAGGAAGGAAAAAGGCTCTCCCAAGGCATGGCTACTGGGGCAGATAGATGGCACTTGGTAGTACACATAGGCATGCAAGACAAGCCCAAGGTAAATTTCCAACAAGCTGGAATTCTCCGAGCCCTTTAAAAATCTCAAGAGAGGACCACTTAGCTAAACATCATCATCATGTGTTAAGAAGCTTGGCTGAAAGATAGATTCTCTTGCCAGTGAAAGCAAGCCAATTTTTGAACAAAGGTGTACACTTGCCAGTCAAAAACTGACTCCACAATCTTACATGGCTTTGGAGTAGGAAAACAGGAATCATTTGGCTTTTTCAAGCTTTGTAGAGAAACAGAACATGACAAGCACAAAAGAGCCCAAACTGAGCAAACAAACCTCATGGGTACATTGGATGTCAGTGAAAAATGGATATCCTGCTTTCAGGAGAGCTCTACAATAGCCACATGAAAGCATTAGCCTTAATTTTGGAATTAAAAGGACACAAATGTTCAGCAGCCAAAAAAAAAAAAAAAAAAGGGAGCAACTAGAGGATTCATTGCCTGCAAGAAAGGCGGATTTTTGGCAGGCTCTACTTGCACACTTCTTAAGATCAAGCCCAATTCCACATCTTATTAACAGTCTCTTACAGAACCACAAGGTTCAATTTCTCCCTTCATGGGAATGAGACACAAGCAACTGCTACTCTGAGACACCAAAGAGTCCAGTAGAAGAAATAAAAACAGAGCCCATTGGGAGATGCAGCAAACAGGGAATCTGCAGCTGGCAACATGGGAAAAAGTAAGAGAAGAGAGTACAACAGTACATGGAACATTCACCTGAACAGACATATTTCCTCTCCGTATGTTGCTGAATATCATGAAGGATGAGCCTTAGTTAATGATAAAAAACCCCAACAACTTAAATTTGCACTCATTTCCCCTAGGTGCTTTAGATCCCTAGACTGTTAGACCTACCAAATTCTTGCCAGTGGATTTTTCAGAAAACAAATTCTCAACAGAAACTTAACTTCAATAATCACAAACCTTTGAGTTTTGTTTCCTTTGCTGGTGGGCTCATCTAATAACATATTCCTCACCTCACTCTGGGGAGGCAGAAATCTGAGTGCAAGTCTGTGTTTGCCACAGAACAGGTACATCTGTCTCAAGCAATGCTCAATCACACCTGGTCAGTGCTGCTCCCAGGATCCCACAGCAGGAGCAGTAGTCACTTGCTTTGCGTTTCCTTGCGTTAACATTCTGTTGTGGTTCCATTCCAGTTTCTCACACATCCTGAGAGCACTACTTCATGGACAAGATGTCATCAGGAAGCTGGAATGCTGGGAAGAAAAATGCATATACAACAGTCCAAGTAGATCCTGATGAGGACTATTGTACCCCAGGGGCGTTTGAACTGGAGAGGCTCTTGTGGAAGGGCTGCCCAAAGTACACTCACGTCAATGAAGTCTGGCCCAATCTCTACATAGGAGACGAGTAAGTGTACACATTACCCCCTAGATAGCAGATAAGTGTACCTGGTACATCTCCTCTACACAGGGGATGACCAAGCTCTCCTAAACACAGCTCACTGACAGATGTCAGAGTTACACAGAGCAATCAGAGGCTGGCATGGCCCTGATTGTTACTGCTGCTTCAGGAAGGTGCAGAGGAAGTGCAGCAGGGTCTGCTGTTAAAGACAGAGTGACAGCACGGGTTGTGGCACCAGCGTAGGCTGCAGAGGTTGAAGCTCATCACGATCTATTTTTAAATGGTTCGTTTCAAAGAGCAATTTGCTGTTTAACTGTGAGTGAAAGTTGTTCCACAGTTACAGAGCATGGTCTGGATGTGTTTGCCACACCTGAGGTTGGTTTAGGACTAAAATGTAATCCTTGACAAGTGACTGAAGGGACAGCTCACTCTGCAGTAGTATTTCTGCATATCCAAATTTATGCTTGTGGAAATACACTCTGCTCAAAGACTAAAGCAAAGAGAACCCTGAGGAAGGCAAAGCTGCAGAGATGTGTCTCACTGATCACACCAAGTGTGATTTGGAAAAAAAACAAACCCACAAAACAGACTTAGTCCTGCTGAGCATGGGACTAAACTAGAAGCAACCTATTCCAAGAACCAGAGAAGACTGCTGCAGCAGGAGACATGCCATTAGAAAATCCCAGCCCAAGCCCTGAGCAGAGGAAGAGAGCTTTTCTTACTCCTTTGGCATTATTGGTCCAATTCCCATTTTCCTCTACACCCTGCACTAACACGACATTTATTTTTACATCATCACTGAAAGACACAAATAGGAGCCCCAGTGGCTCCAAAGTTCTCAATAATTTTTTAAAAGGTCCTAAAATTCATCTGTTGCCAGCTTATAAAAGAGGAAAGATATACGGCTTTGAAAGTTACAAGACTCCTAATATCATCCACCAATTACTTCTGTGGCGCCAGAGGCAACAGAAAGACAGAAGAGTTCTGGTCTTGTACCAAGCCAAGGCTCCCACTTTTACAGATAGGGATGGGAGAGTGTGTGTGTGCGTGTGTTGTGTGGGATAAAAAAATTAAACAAGGGGAACAGCCTGTCCAAATGATTCAGGAACAAAAGAAAAGGAGTTGAGTTTTTCTTTCCACATCCTGCCCTGCCTCTCCAGTTAGAAATTTCTAACTCAACATTCACCATAAAGAACAGCCTCTTCTGGCATTTATTTCCTACTTTCTTGTTTAGAATCACCATCAGAACTATTCTGAATTAAGCTGTTAGAAGATTTTCCCTCTAATGTCTGTGATGAAGCTATAACTGTGCCTGCTGAGCAAAGGGATGTAATCAGACAAGAAGTCAATCTCTCAGCCCAGGACAGCAGTCACCGACTCTTTCCTGTAATCTTCCTGTAGCAGAGGCTTCTTACACCTTGTAATTTAGTAAAAGCTAGAAGTCTTGACTCTGAATACACCACACACCTGGCACTTCATACAAACTAACCAGAGGAACAAAAATACAAACTTCTTGAGAGGTACACAGAGCTACAACCCGGCATGCTGGGCAGTGTGTTTCTGCTGAGGACTGGTCTTAAGTCAGGAGGAAAAACAGTGGTGCTTCAAGGGAAAACAAGTTCCCTACCATGACAAGACAAAATATTGAGAAAACCAATGGAGAAGGAAAAACAAATGAGGAGCAGGTGGGGCAGAACAGAAATAAAACTTCACCAGAAAATAGACTCCCCAAAAGAGAAAACCTATTGTCAGCCAGGCAAGGGCAAACTTGACATGGCAGAAAATCTGAGAGATCTGGTCTGCATGCAAGGTGCAGACTTCCACTACCCTAAAATTTGCTTTGAAATAGGCAAAGTCCACAGGCCTTTGTATCTTTCCTGGAGTCAGCTCATATCTTACTCCTGACTAACAGCTTACCCCCTCAGTGTGGCAGTGTTTTTGTATTAAGATCTTGCTTTAGAACTGGTGGCCAAAGAGATGCCACAAGCCACAAACAGATGTTGGGTGCATTTGCATCTTTAGCCATGCTAAATTAAGGTTGATGTTGAAGGAATTTGGTGGAACTCATCAACAAAATCAAATGAACACACACATGCAGAGTTTATCTTCAGAGCTTCCACATCTGCACTTCATTCCTGCCTCCTGCATTTACAAGGTTAACAGGACTTGTGACTGCTTATGGAAATGCTAATTAATTACCCTGACTAGTAACCACATCTTCCTTCTAATGCAATCCAGGCTATCAAGGAGCCCTGTGAGGCCACTCCATGCTTTTGTTACAAGGCTTCACTGCAGATGTTGCCCAGAGGCAATGAAGTCTCTATGAGCCTGTCAGACCCAGAATAATCAAAGCCTCGAAATATAACATGCTGTGTTCAGCTCCAATTGAAATTTTCCCCCAGCAAGTTCCAAGGGCTTTTAAAGACCAGATACTGGAATTTGTATGACACAGCCCAGCGACAGGAATAAAACACTCTTGGCCAAGATTTTGATTCAATTGCTACCAGGATTAGTTTTGCATGTATCCTCCTCATATTTAAAAGTCCTCTAAAAGGATAGAAAGCAGCCTTGTCTTTCCTTTGTTTCACTGGCCACCTGGTTGCTTGCACAGGCAGTTTTACTGGCAAATTCCAAACCTACTTGGTTCATTGAGATCACATGGAAAGTCTCTGCCAGTTACACATCTTGTAGTTTCTTCTTGCAGCTCCTCAGCGATGGTCTTATTACCTGAAATGATGTTTAGGCTTCCACATTTATGAAGTTCAAAGAATATTTCAGTTGAAGACAAAGGCTTCCCAATTTGTTTTCCTCTTAAACATGCACTAGATCTCATTAGGATTTAAGGCCTGATCACAATTTCAGGTCTTGTCATGTTCTCAAAGTACTCACAGAAAAAGGAAAAAAAGGTCTTCTGAATTGTAATACTTTACAAGTTAAACATGAAAAATAATTTTCTGGGTATGCAGCTGAATTGAGCTTGCAATTCCCAAAAGCTATGGTCTGTGCCTGTGCCTTGCCATGGCTCATATGGTCTTCAGAACTGATGCAGTAACCCAAACCCACAATTTGGAGTGCATGATAATTAAGATAAATAACTAAACACTAAATATATGCATAACTAAATCTCATTCTCTCCTCTTACCTTTCTGCAGAGAAGCAATACAGCATGGCTTTTTCCAAGTGACTAAGTAAAGACAATTTACACTAACCTAGAAGAAAACAGATGGGACTCACTCAGGCTAGGAAACAGCTACCTCCCACCATTTAGCATTACTAACTCCTAGCATCTACATCAGTATTAATCATATAAAAATAGAAGCAAATACAGATTTAGATTATAACAACACTCTTGAGGACATAGTTTTAACTTGGGTAGAATAAGAACTTGCCACTTGTAACAGCAATTTAATAATTCAGAAAATCAGATCTTTAACACTGGACAATAAACCTCAATGCTCCAATGTTTTCCAAGACAAGTAACACTTCTCCATATAACATCTCTGTCTAGCAGTGATTTCTAACATTTGATGAGTAACTGAAATCAAGACCAGGAACTGACTGACCACAGCATGTGTGCTTAGTGCCTCTGCTGTATAGAAAGCAGAGAGTTATTTCCTCTGTCCAGGTTGTATCACTTATAAAAACTACATCCACCATTCTGGGCTAGAGGAACATCTTTTCTATCCCATATTCTGATGATCCCGTTCAGTATTTTCAGTGGTACCTAAAAATTCTTTTAATTCACACTGAGCAGGAGGCACACAGAGAAATGGAGCAACACCTCAGAAGAAAAAGGGGATACAATGCTACACTATCTCTAGACTCCTTCAGTGCTAGAGATACCAAGGAAAATTGGGTCAGTATTATTGGAAATTCTCAACATCTCTCCTCAGGAGGGAGAACTGCCAGATTTTCTTAAGGAAGTGTCAATATTGCCTATATTCAGCAAGCTTCTTTCTGACACTGACCATCTGGTAAATTATCATCCTGCATCGAGCTTTCCTTTAGCACTTAAGAAAACGAAAAAAGTTCGAGAGAGGCAATTCCTCTCCTAGTAACATGTTGCCTCAGATTTCCTGGTGTTTTGTCAATCTGGGTCACGTCAGTCCGTGGCTTTGACAATCTATACTGACACATGTTTGCATTGCACAACCTTTGCCTGAAGTTTAAGAGACTTGGCTCTACTTAATGTTGATAAGCACACCAGTTACCTGCTTGAGCAGTGCCAGCTGTAAGGTGCTAACTTACCTGGTGAAGGAGTTGCTCTGCTCACACCCTCCTGAGCTATTTTGGAGGATTACTTCCCTTCCTTTAGGCGTACTTATGTTTTCGTCATGAGCCGCCCTATCTTTCCTTTGTTAGCTGCTTAACACTGCCTGTGAAGGTGCAGGCTGCAGTGCCTGCAAGTTCTTTTCCCCTCTCTTCCAATTCCATTGATTTGGCCAACTTTCTAACAAAAGCAGCTGGGACTAAAGCTTGTTATGGCAGTATTTTGGAAAAGAGAGAGGGGATTTGGTACAGTGGAGACAGCAACCTGAAAGAAAGCATTCTTTTTCATGTTGTAACTACTTACATTGTTTCTTCCAGAAGAACCAAGATTTTGCTGCAGCACTTGCTATCAATCCTATGAAACTTAGCCTTAAAACTGACAGCAGGCACAGTTAAAGTCTCCAACAAGCTCTCTACTTGCCCTTGCACAACCAAAGAGAGGCAAACAGTCTTTTGGGAGCCATCGGAAAATGGATGACACTTTTGTCTAGGTCAGTTTCCCCTTTTGTTGAGTCTGTCAGTATCAACATATCCATATGTGAAAGTGATTTTATCTCCGGTTTTCACCATTGAGGTGGGATTCCCACATCAAAGTATTCCCCCTTGCCTCAGAACTTTAAAAACATGTTTATGAGTCCATCTGCCCTACAATAAATGCAGGGTCATTTTCAGCAAAGCTGAGCTTTTGCTTAACATAGAGAAAAGGACTTCTGGGTATACTTAACTTTTAGCATAAGTTTATGTGCTCTGAACTGAAGAGCTGATGAGCTTTTACATGGGACTAATCGGCACAGGTCATCTCTTACTAAACTGAATTACACTGAAATTTTCATTGTTATCTCCCAGTGTCACACTTCACCTTCCTTGCATGGGAACACGTTCAAGGCAGACACTGGAGACCACAGCTGCACCGTGTGAAAGGAAATCAAGTGCTAACAGCACAGATGGTGGAGATACACAAAATGGAAACAATTTCAAGAGTAGCCAAGTGCTTACAGCTTCACCTACACTGGCATTTGTAGCAAACTCCTCTTTACAATGGCTACCTAAAGTTCAATGATAATCACAATAATGGGAGCATTAATCACAAGTTAATAGGAAACAGCAGCACCCAAAGAGGGGAAAAGAAGAATGTTGTTAGCTTGACTATTGCACTCTGACAGTGAGCAAACTGCAAGGAAAGAAAACTCGATGCCTTTTCTAGTCAAAAGTGAATTAGAAATGGAGTCATAAATCCTCCAATAAGGAATGATTCATCCCTGAACCATCCTATGCTATTAGTAACCTCAACCAATCAGATATTCTCAGATATTTACGCCTGATTTATTTCTCTCTTTCCTCTACAATATTGATACCTCAGGCATTGTAAAAACTGCAAGGAAGGCCAAGAGCATTCCCCTCTCCTTGGGGTGTAATCAGAAGTATCATGCATGATGAAACACAACAAGCCCCACAGGCTCTGGTAACAGTGTACAGAGGGGTGTTTTCACAACAGCATTGACTCAGCTGAGGGTGGAAAGCAATCCAGTCCCTTCCCACAAAACCAGAGCTCACTACTGCCTACGGGCAGTCCAAGCAAATTTCCATCTACAGGCACACAGGTCCACCACGTGAGGCCTTACCAGGCTGTTTTTTGCTCTGCTAACTGGCAACCAAGCTGCTGCAAACCCAGCGTGACCCCAGGTTTAACTGCCTACACTGTGGCAGTGTCAGTCTCAGCACAGGCCATCTCTGCCTGCTAATGTTTGTGATCAAAGTACAAAGTACTGGCTGACAGGAGGCAAAAAGCAGATAAACCTGAGCCTGTATAAAAAGGGGTGGTCCAGCTGGGCTCTTAGCCTAGATTTTGGGCAAAGATTTTACAAGGAAAAAAAAAAGAGGAAGAATTTTCACAGAACAGTAGCAAAATCTCTTACGGAAATATAATTATCATGTCTAAGACTGGGGGGATAGAGAAAAAGACGAAAGAGCTTTATAAAGTACTTTCTAATCTCCATATTAGGTTTGAAACCAAGCACTCTTGCTCTTGAAAAAGACTAAGTGTCACTTCAGCTTTCTTCACAAGATGCAGATTCTAAAGCCCAAGGCAAGCACCTCTTGCAGTCCAGTGAACCCTGTTTTCTATTACACAACAACTGTTTCTTCATATCCCCACACAACATTATATATTAGAAATGGTAGGGAATGCTTTCCATAGATAAAAGTGTCCAGGGTGTCTGCTGTAAGAAAGGTGCCTGCCATCCTCTTTACAGACTGTGGGCACTGGCTTGGCCTGCAAATGCAAAAGCCATGCATACACAGGACCTGTGCTGACCCTGCTCCACTTAGGGCAAATATTTTAGGCCTTGCTTCCACTAACAGGTTCTACAACACCTACACACACTTTGAGTGATAGTTATTCCAGTGGATATGTGGAGAACTTAACAGATTTGAGTGCTCAGCACTGAACATTCATTTTCTGGAAGTTTTTCAAATCAGAATGTCAGTAGAAAAAAGAAAATATGCATCCATATAATAAAGAAAACAATTACATTGGATAAGGTTCTATTCAGTCCAAAGGGTATTGCCAAATCAGTCTGCATATCAAGCACAATTAGAAAGCAGATAACATTTTAAAGTCAGCCTAGCCCAAGCATTGAGGAAAACAGAGCATAAATTCCTTGGTACACCTGTAATTTGCTGTTAAAAAAATTAAATTATTTCACAGAAGATTATATAGTTACATCTGAGCATTTATAACGAATTGTTGCAACACCATTCAAGGTTGATACATTACTGCTTCTGAGTCCATTTCCAGCCCAAGCTGGGAAACAAACAGAGCAGAGTAACAATGTGCATATTCCAAACCTCCCACGGGTCAAGGGCAAAACAACTGCTAATGCATTTATGATGCAAATTGATTAAACTGATTAAATAAAAAGGAGGAGGATTAATTCCATCCTGGGCCTCAAATTCACAGAATGCAGCTACAGGCAAGACTGGGAGATGGAAGGGGAAGTTCAGAGGAGGGTGGCCAGGCTGAGCTGACTGCTTATGCAAGTTACTGAAAGACCTTATTCCTTCTTTCTGAATACCTACTGGAAAACTGAGGCCACTCAACACTGCAAAATCAGGTCGTAGGAAACAGAACAAGCCTGTGACTGTCAGAAAAATGCATTAGTTGCACCCACTCCCGTCAAAAGGCAATCTCCAATCAAGGAAACAGGAAAATCTGATTTCATATAAAAACAAGTGTCAAATGTTAATGACTGTAGCCTATTGTTTGACATGGTCCTTCCTCAGAACAACTTGATAATTTAATTATAATGCTGTTTCTTAGCCTGAGCAGTGCTTGCAGAAGCCAAAGTGTGATAGCATCTATAGTTCATCAAAAACTTTGGTTTTCTACTGATCCTAACTACTCTTCAGTCCTATTCCCTACTCAGCATGTAGGTCTCCACTTGCAAGGATCTTGTGCACTGGTCTCTGACTTGAAGCTCTCAGTCTTACATGGTTTGTAGGATACATGCTTTGGGCCAAGTCTCATGACTGAAAGCCACATTTTGTCTGTTCCAGCATCATGGAGGTAAAACAAAGATAGGCTTAATTTGAAAGCAGGAACTGTAGCTCACCTCAAGGACATCAAAATGAAGAGCAGTTGTTATTCACTGAACCCTTACACTTCAGCCAGGACATTTAACCTGTTTTATTTTAAGTACTCTCCATCCTTTCAGTATAGAACTGAAGTGTCTCTGCTGGCAATGTGTACATACAGGGAATTCTAAGGCACAAAACCTCCTAAAAGGAGGGAGAAGAAAGAAAGTCTTCCTCAGTCAATCACTGCTATAGGAATTCAAAGGGAAGGAGTAAGCATTATTTAACGTGAGGTGAAGGTGGCAACTTACAACATTAACAGCAGGATGCTGCTGCTTCTCTGTGCTCCAGGGTCTACTAAACTTATTAGGTAGGCATCACCACACTAAGAGAAGCTTTTATTTAACTTTTACATGATTGTATAGGGGATGCGTGGCATTATTTCATGCCAAAATATCACTGTCAAGACATTATTATTCCTACCAGAAAGGAATATCTGCAGGGCAATATTTACGAAGAACAGCCAACAATCATGGGCTTAATTTAAGTAAGAGCAAGCATAGGTAAAACCTTCAGTATCCATATCCCAGTTAAGTGCTGTAATCATTAGGTCCTTGACTGCTCAGAGGGGGGTTTTGACTTAGAGGTTGTAAAGGCAGTCAACTTCAAGCTATTGTGGGCTGTCACCACTAGAATTACAAAACACAGCAGGTAGCCCACCACAATGTCCTGTGTGACAGCAGTTACATTTACACATGGAAGTGTTCAGGAAACATTCATGGAGAGAGGTACTTTTGTTTGGAAAAAGCTTTTTTACATCATGCAGCAGTTATATGAAAATATATTAACAGAATAAAGACTATGCCATTTTTCTTTTTGTAAAAAGATTTGTAGTTTTCCTAGGCACTAATGAAACTTGACAGCTTTTTCAGAACAAAATTTTCCCAAACTAAAAGCTTTCTGAACTGGAAGACAAAAAGTTTTTACATGCCTGGCCACAAACTCTACATTTTTTAAGGAATTTTATCCTAAAGCGAGCACCTACAGTGGTGCTTTTATCCTAAAGCAATACCTACAGTGGGTATTGAACATACAAATCTAAGCTTTCCTCCCTTCTCTGACTTCCCTTGTCCAAGAACAAGTGAGAACCTTTGGCTAAATACATGAATTACAGCTTCCTCTGAAGGGTAATATCCAATTTTCTTATATAGCTCTTTTTGCTTTAGACCTCTGGTTTGACCAAACAAGACAGTAAAATGGAGTTGTGATATGAAGTTAAAGTCACATAAGGATGGGATTAAAAAAATTTATTTTTTCCAGAAATGGAGAAAAATTCAGTAACTTCTTTTGGGGAAGAAAAGGTTCTTTTTGAATCCCAGACGATTTTACTACTCACATATTACTGACTCTTATTACATCTGCAATATCATTTGATGCAACAGAAGGGGAAAATAGCATTCAGCATTCCTTGGTCCTATTTCAAGTTCTGCCACTGATTTCCTTTTCTGACTTTAGATAATTCCTTCTATTTCTTTCTGTATCTTAAGTTTCTTGTTGTACAAGATGGATCGAAGCCAGTATTGCCTATGTGCAAAGGTAATGGGAAAATAAATCCATATTAAACACGCTCTAAGGACCTGGGGGATATAATTAGGAACTCCAAAAAGAATGACAGCTTCAAACAGAATGACAATACCTTAAGATCCTTAAAATGGTAAATTATGCATTGTTAAAGCATTATCAGTTTCACTAGCATTTAGAACATACCAAATCAGAGGTGGTTTTCTTAAATTTTTTTCTGGTCTTGAAGAAGCTTCTTGAGTTACATGACAGCTCTTGTTTTACCAGAAAAACCGCGCTGGATCGCTACAGCCTGGAGAAGGCGGGATTCACCCACATCCTCAACGCGGCCCACGGGCAGCGCAACGTGGACACGGGACCAGAATATTACAGCAGCATGACTGTGGAGTACCATGGCGTGGAAGCTGATGATCTCCCCACTTTCAACCTCAGCCAGTTCTTTTATTCAGCTTCCAAATTCATTGATAATGCACTTCAGGACGAAAGAAGTAAGGAGGGTGCTGAAAATGGTTCAAACCGGTATAATATTTACCACAACTAATTAAAAGCATAGTTCCATGGCATTTAACCTTGCAGGAATGAAACAAGTCCAATACAGTTTAATAGAAACAATAAAACTAGTAGTAGGGAACCAGTGTCAGAGAAGGCAGTGATGTATTTAGGACCCTTCCCATTAATACCACCCCAAGAGCCTCTTACCAAGCACTTTTGTCAAAAGTTCTCATCACAGCTTGTATCAAGGGGTCCTATCTGACAGAGGTTTTCTGTTGTTGTTTTGACTCCTTCAACAACACATGTGAGACAACTGGAAATTACCTAGATGTCATGAATATGCTGTCTTTTCCTAATTAGTCCCTATCAAAACAGGTTTAATGAATATTTATTGCATAGTGGTGGGAGTAGAACACAAGTGGTCTCAGACATTGCATGCCATCATTCCACAGCTTCATGCTCTGCACCATTAGATTATCTCTATAAATATAGAAAACACCCCTCCTACCTGACCATCAGATCTACCCCAACCTGTAACATTTATTTCTCTGCCATCTTCCAAACAGCAGGGAACCGATACAGCTCTGACAGCAGAAAACTAGAAACATTTCATTAAAGTGTTTGTAATTTCTCAGCTTGATTACTACAATTCATTATTTGCTGATCTCCAGCAGTGTTCTATCAGTAAGCTTTACACTGATGTGAAGTGCTACAGCCTAGGCCTCACACTGACTTCAATATTACTCCTACTCCTTCCCCCCACATACTTTTAAAAAAATCTCAGCAGGATATTTTACCAGAAACCAGCTGAGAAACTTAAAACTTTCCTGCTGACCTATAGAGACCTTAATATCAGAGGGTCAGATATCAAGTTTCTAGCCTTGTGCCAGCTTCTGTTCTTGGCTGCCTAGCTCAGCTGCAGGCACTTACTACCTGACTTGCTTCCAATAGCCAGTCAGGTCTTTACAATTTTACTCTTTCAACAAGTACAGTCCACACAACAGTTCCTTCCCTTGCTCAGGAGAACACCTTGAAAGCAGATCAGTGTTAAAAATCAAGGTTCTAATAGCAGGAGAAACTGCTTCAGGAGCTTACTTGCTTATGAAGAAAGATACCCAGCATTTTAAAAAAGTGTGTCTGAAGCACTGCCTTTGGAAAGGAGAGGATAACTAGCACACACCCGTGTCTAGCCATGGCTGGAGGCCAGAGGTCAGTGTCAGACTGGAGTAGCTGGAATAAGAAATGCAGACTTCCTCCTTCCCACCACCCTCCTGTTCCCCTAAGACTTTAGTCTGCTGTACTGAGGTAAAGAAATGAGCACAAGGGAAGCAGCAAGGGCGAGGAAAAAAGCCTTGCTTGCCAATAAATATTGCAGGAGGAAAGGATGAGATGGGGGGGATATTAACCTTTTTGTTTCAAAACCACATCAAAGTCCAGGAAATCCTGAGACAGTAGCAAGCACCAGCCCAGCAAAACCAAATTGAAGAGTGACTGGGTGAACAAACAAAACCAAACAAAAAAATCTGCATCCAAGTAGATACTACAAATTGCAGTGATTTCTGTAGCTGTAGTAATTCAAATGGCTTTTAAACAAGTTAGCTAGGATCTTTCCTGATGAAGACCAATAAAATGAAGAACTACTGCAATACTCATGAAGAAAAAGAGCAATCTCTTAACTTTCTCATGAGGGAAAAATAAAATGTATCCATGTACACCTCTTATCCCAGCCAGAGACACATATAAAGCCACTATGCATGGCCCAGGAAGACACTGAGGTTTAAAGCATGACAATAACTTTCCAATACACATTTACAGAATAGAATGACTCCAGAAGCTAGACTAAAGCGTGGACTGATGCCTCCTATGGAAGAAAAGACTAGAGGTAGCTAGTGCTCTCCTCCAACAACATAAATGTATTATTTATGAATGCACATCTAGTGCAGAAAGGTGCTCTGCATTTCAAGTTTCAAATGAACAGGCTATATTGTGTACACCTTCCTGACTGATGAAGAGCATCCAGATTCCTAAACAGGATTTTGTATGAAGCAACCAATCACCTATCTCCAGTGGTAATGACATGGGACTTCAGTGTGTGGTGCTTAATACTTCGGATCAGTAACAGCTTTGCATTGCTTTACTGCTTTGTATATTAGAACTGAGGAAATGCAGAGAGGGAAAGGGAGAGAAAGGAAAAAGCTTCAGCTTGTGTGACCAGAATCTATGTCTTAATGAATTTACTCCGGCTGTATCACGTTCTGGCTGTATAAGAGGTATGACCTTCAGCCAAATTATCAAATTCATTGAACAGATGTTTTTGGATAATGATTTTTGCTGGGAAGATGTTCAATAGTCAATGCTGTTGAAACCAGTTATCATTCTAATGAAGAAGGCCCTCTCTGAAACAGACCTGAAAGCTTGGCAATTTGGATGCTGTCAAAACAGTCCTAATTCTGACTTAACATTTAAAATCTTCATGATGATGAAGAAATTCCCTGATCATAACAGTTATTTGTAGGGTTGAAAGGTATTTGTAGGGTTTAAGCATGGGCTGATGGACATAAGAACAGTTATAAGAGTAAGATTTAGAGGCAAACTCTAATGAGTCACAATTATGCATACTGTCATTCAGCTAGCCATAAAGCTTTCCAAAAACATGCAATTCAGGCCATAGAACAGCTTAAATTTTTTATCAGTGAGGCCTGTATAACATGAAAGGAAGACATTATTTAAATTATTTTTTTAGGTTTCCTACTAAACTACAGATATAATATTCATTCCCTTGAAATTTTAGTTCCTCAGAATGTAGAATAGACAGGAATGGCATTTTAACTTCACAATAAAATGTCAGGGGAAAATACACTAAAGACAAGAGATTTTAAAAGAAAACTAAGTGGGAAGAAACATATGAGACAGTTACAAAGACCTGAGGCTTTTGACCAAAGACACCTCAACATTCATAGCTCCAACTGACTCTGGAAAAGGAGTGCTGCATCTAGATAAATTTTCAAGAAACACAAACCCAAGTTAAGTGAACAAAGTATTTCCGAGATCTGTTACCACTCTGCAGATCTCTGTGTCTATGCACTGACACTGCATATTCTGGCACACCTTGAAGATATAAGTGGTCAGAATCCAAGACTGCAAGAGCAGACTCCCTTTTGGGGAATGAGGGTTCAGAGTGGTCCTTATATTAGAATGGAAGAGACTACAGAAGGGACATGGCTCTGCAGAAGAGTGGCAGTGCTCTGCTGTAACAGGCAGCTGGCTCTTGATCATTCACACGCAGCCAAGGACAGACTTCCTTTTCTGCAAACCAGTGGACATTTCAGAAGAATGTACAACCATTTTTTTGCCTTTGTTGCCATAATACAAAACTGTATTTTCTCCTGCATCTCCATTTGCCACCCACACAAAGCAAAGCTTTCCTTGTCCCATCATGTATTTTATCATCTCAACAGCAACAGATTTACAAGGTGGGAAGCTCTAAAGAGAAGCACTGAAGGGCTAAACAAATGCGTCTTTTCATCCACTTCAAATATTTGCAGTAATAATAGAATGGATTATCATTTTCTAGGAGAGGAAGAGGCACATTTAGTTATCAGAAGGACTGGAATTTTGCCAAGATGCCTCAAAGACTATCTGCTAGGATTAGGATGCAGACTGTAACCATTAATCCTTTAGTGTTGGCAGTTCTTGATGCATCCATTACACAGCAATGCTACTTGTGCCAAGGCATCCTCTTGTGCCTGGAAGCAAAGGAGTTAATCGGCAGGAGTCATGGCTTTGCACCCAGCACTTCTCACCAGGCGTAGCTGACAGAGATAAACTATTATTGGCCCTGATAGCACAGTTTTTATTTTTTTCTCCTGTGGCAATTCTGCTTAGCAGGGTGTTAGAGAGTGTGCTCCAAATCTACTTCCTTCAGCGGTTCAACCTTTTGTGAGACCCCCTTGAGGGCTTTGAATCATTTTTGGAAATCTTTTGAAGTGTTTCAAAACCTGTCAATCAGACCTGAGCCCACTTACTGTTCTCTTCCTCCACCTCCCCCAGATATTGCTAACACGGAAGGCTCCACTTTGACTTACAACCTTGTTACTAGCCAAAGCCAATAACTTATTGCCTCTGGAAGTCCCAAGTTAAGCCACGCAGTGTCACAGAGTTAAACCGTAGCATGTTTATTGGGAGGTGAAAACTCTTGGCAAAGACTCTGCACTCACAGGGTATGAGACAGGCTCCTACTGCAAGGAGATGATCGTATTAGAATACCCAGATGATGATGGTGGTGAAATATTACTTGCATTCAACACAACAGGGTGCTAGCCAGAAATTTCTACAGAAGCTTTTCTATAGTGCAAGAGGTGGTTTCTTTCCACCCCCTGGTTATATGCCTATGGCCTTTATTCTCTGCCCTCAAAATCTGGCATAAAGTGATGCAATCTAGATTTCAAAGTACATTATTGCCAGAACAAAAAAACAAAATCAAATTTGGTTACTTTTTGTGTCTAGTTAGTAGAACTGAGAAAGGCACCCCCCATGCATTCCATTTATTCTCATGGAAGGTCTGTCTGAGAGCACACCAAACCCTCCCACACCCTTGTGCTTTGGTCGTTATTCCCAAACACAGAATTGCATACACACTGTTTGTGAGGCATGTAAGTCAAGGCTGCAGCAGGGCTTGCTATGGTACTCGATGCTGCCCCCAGGCCTTCTCTGCAAGCTTGGTTCACAAATAAAATGATATTTGGTGTAGGATTAAATGGATCATCCCTACTGTAGATGGTGTTCAGTTTTAAGATTTACAGCCTGAGTTTTCCCTTGTATGAAAAGAGAGGCTTATTTAGTGCTGGTAAGGGCAGTCAAACACCAAACAGAGCAGGGGCACTACAGAAACCTTCACTGTCAAGAGGAAAGGGTTACCCAGGGTCACCTCTGATGGCGTCCCTCTGTTTCCACAGGCAAGGTGCTGGTTCACTGCGCCATGGGCCGCAGCCGCTCCGCCACGCTGGTCTTGGCTTACCTGATGATTTACAAGAACATGACAGTGGTGGATGCCATTGAGCAGGTGGCAAGGCACCGCTGCATCTTGCCAAACCGGGGCTTCCTGAAACAGCTGAGAGAACTGGACATAGCGCTGGCGCTGCAGAGGAGGAACAGCAAGAACAGCCTAGCACCTGCTGAGCAGCAGGACAACACCACCATCTAGCATTGTCCTGGCATGGCTGGGCTACTGGAAAAGAAATTCCATAAAAGGAGGGGAGGGGAACGTGTAGTTCATTACACAGCCACAAGGATCATTTGTTATTTGCTAAAAAAAACCCCCAAAGTTATTTCAAATACAATGTCAAGATGAGAAAGAAGGGAAACCAAATTTAAAACTCATCATCCTAGAAAGTTCTAGCCTTAGCAGAATTCTTTGTTACATCAACAAATAAGTTTTTCTCTCTGCAAAACAACCCCAAACATTTACAACACAAAAGCAAGCACAACTTAAAACTCTCTTCTAGCTGCGTACCCCCAAAATTGTGATCCTAACTCAAGCCCACAGCCTTTAAAGGAGTGCAGATAGGCACTCCTCAAGAAATCTTGCAGGAAAAATGCTTAGTCCAGAGTCCTGAAGGATTTCACAGGAGTTTGCCTTTTTGTGATGTTTCCTGGCAATTTTATTTCTTTTTTCACAGTGATAATCCAGGGCAGCACAGCAGTTAGAGAGCTTCTACATGAGGAGCAACTACACCATAAGCATTTGCTTTACAGACAAGAATTCCTTATCAAATGATAAACTAAAAGATAACAAATATCTCTAAGGATTTCCCTTTGTCAAGCTACAGTTGTCTTCTTTCTTGTATCTGCATGAGAGCTTGATGACTGCTGTAACTGAAAGAGGATTTATCATTGATTCACATGCATAATTGATCACCCTCAGCACTACAGAAAATTGCCAGGGCCATTCTTTCTATTTACCATGCTGATATAAACGGAGTTTGTTTCCATCAACCACCCTGCCAGATGGACAAATTAAACAGCTTATAAAACTGTGAGACATAGACAGTGATCTAACATGGAATATTAGTACCTTTAGCAGTCCTTCATTTCTGCTTATATCAGAGATTCTTACACTTAGTAAAAAATTGGTTGCATTTTGCCCACTGCTGGGGGATCAGGCAGCCTGAGTGTAACAACACTTACCATTCCTGTCTTTGCTAAGTGGCTGAGTGCAGCTTCCAGGAGAACTGGCATTCGGCAGCTTCCAGATGAAGTATGTCCTGCTCCAAAGACAAGTATCTTTCCTAGAACCAGGTCTTGTCTGAAGGATTCTGCTGGCCCAACTGTGCCAATTAAACAGTTCTGAAGTAAAACATACTTTTCATTTACTTCCCAGCTTTAGCCTACTGTTCTCCCAGAATTAATGAGACTAAATCAGAAAAGCAGAAGTTCTGGAACATGTGGCTTCCACAAAGTGAGGCAACTCTTGCAAGCTGCTAATGAGCTGATTCACAAGTGTCAGCAGCACCGACTCCAGCTACAAGCCAGGTCTGCAGGAAACACACACACACACACACTGAACAAGGCAGGTTGATTTCCTTCTTGCCAACCACCAGTAGCATGGAGTATTCTGTAAGAGTGCATGGCCAAAGAAGCCTCCTGCTTCAACGAGAATCATGTATTGCAATTCTGTGAAGAATTTTTTGAAGACAGTAAAAGCAAAAGCTCATTCCCCTCAAGGATAGTGCTAGAGCACACAGTCAAAACTGACACTGCAAGGTGCATACAAGACAGAGAACAAGTATATCTGTCAGGGAAAAGATAATCTTATTTATCAAAAATTTTAGTACCACAATGCAATTCATAGCTAAACAGTTGTTATGGGAAAAGAGATAGGCTAGTCCCTTGTCCTCCTGAAATGAATTTTGAAATAACAAGACTATATTGGAAACTTGCCTGCTGTAGGCACATTATGCATCATTTCCCAATCAACTCTTAACCCATATATTGTAAATAGAGAATTTTAGCAATGTGCTGGAGTCAGGATGCTACTTCAGGTTAGCAAATACCTGAAATGTTAAGAAGGTTTGATTTGCTTGTATGTTACAGGCTTCAAACCTTGAAACTGAACAGCAGCAGATAAAGACCCAGGTGCCTCTTTCACTCACTGTAAAAACACACAAATGAAAAATCACAAGACAAAGCTGAACACACCTGAAGGCTGCATATAAATGTGTCGAGTTCCCCTTTCCTTTTCTTATGCATAAAAAAGGTGAGTCACTTTGTAAAGATGAAAACAAAGTTTAAATACTATGGATACTCTCTGCCTTCAATCCACGAATTTGACAATGTAAGGGCATGAACCAAGATCTTTGTTGTATGGTGCTCTCTTTATCAGGTGTCCTGAACTCCTAAAACACAAGTTACTCCAGATTCCCATTTGACCAGCAATTTTAGCTCTCATTCAGATTCACTATTTTAGACTGCTGCTCTATTGTATTAAAACTCAATAGGTTGTGCACATAAATCTGTAGTATCAGTTTTTTGATTTGGCACCACCATACAGTTATGGTTTTATTTAAAGAAATACACATTTCTTTAAGATATATGAAATATTTCCTTTAAAGCTGTTTTATACACTGGAATGGGGACAATTTTCAGTCAAAATGGCCACTCCTTTCACCTTAGCTAGTAACCTTACTGCAGTGACAGTGCCCACATCCACATTAGAAGCATTCTGAAAAATTATTACAAGAACTTTTTCTGGTGTAGGTTCACACATCCCATATTTGAATTTGTCCACTCATGAGATCCACATAGACAGCCTTCTTGTGTTTAACAGACCTTCCTACAAGAGAAGTGCTCATGTCTGTGTATGTCTGTGTATGCCCACATACATGCATACACACAGAACCCATAGATTTAACACAGAATTTGCATCATCTTGTCACCCAGCAACAATGACAAAAGAAGAGATTAAAATTCTATCATTAAAATACAGCTCAAACACCACCTCTGTTACTATCATATCCTTTTTTATATATATATATTTACACCTTTTGTAGGAAAGAAGTTTTATACATTAAATATTGACAACCTTGTAAGGTATTAAATACATATTTATTCAATATTTTATTAAGATTATTAAAAAAATAATCTTAGGTATTCTTTTTTTCACAAGGTGTATGCAATTATGATGAGTAACCTACACTTAAGCTCTAAACAGCCTAATCCAAGCCCCACCAACTGTAATGGGCTTTAGGTCAAGCATGTGAGAGCACCATAACAAACACTGCTTCAGGAGGGAATTCCCATGCAACATCAAACTATGACAAGACACAAGAGGCTAAAAATGGCTCATCATAATTTATTTTATGTTAAAATGTACAGCTTGGGGGGGGGGGGGGGGGGGGGGTTTTTTGCGGTTTCTATTTTTGTTGCTTGGGTGGGTCTTCTGTGGGTATTTTTTTAAGTGACTGACTAAAAAGATAACAGATAAATACAAGAGTGTCACTGGGTCCTATTTTTACATGTATCAAGCCTCTTCTGTTCGGCCCTTACAGTCACTCTGTACAGGTACAAAGGCTACAAAAAAGGAAGCAATATAAACAGACACAAATAACTTTTGCCTTTTTACATGCGATCTGTAAGCTTAGTTTGAGCTATTCACACGCTACTGCTCTATTTTTTCCCTTAAAAAATAACTCCAATATTTTATAAAGATAGAAAAATCTACAGATGGAATGAAAATGTAAAGTTAGAGGCATTTCCATAAAATAGCAACTTTACACCAAATTCACTACTTTTTTTTTTTTAAATCCTGCCAAGTATTTGGACATATACGAAAATGTTTCAAAACTTGACAAATAAACACTGAGATGTTTCAATCAACAAAAAAAGTAAGTTTTTATAAAACAGAAAGCTGCCTTTTTCCTACCCAGCCCCAAAGAAACTGGTCACAAAAATGGAAAAGAGTCTCAACTTTACACTAAACATACAGCAATAAAACCCTTTGAACTAACCAAAATGTGAATAGCTTTTGCAGCTTTTTTTATTATTTTTACAAGTTTTATAATTAACAAAAATATAGTTCTGGTTTTTTTACCCCTCAAACTAGGGTAACCTAATCAAGGCAAAAAAATTAAGAAATGGCTTACTGTTAAGCACAACACTTGTACAGTACTACAAAATGCACTGTCACTAACAAAGACATTAGCGGCATGCAGAAGTGTCACCTTCAGAAACAAAATAATACAATAAAAGAACTGCTAAAAGGCATTTACATGTGGGGAAAGGAGAGAGAAAAAGCTCATGATCCAGTACTGTCTGATAGTTTTGGAGTCTATTTATCCACATTTTTAATGGGAGCAGGCACATAAAATGGCTCTGAACCATCAGCTGCTGTGTAATTGCAGTTCATAGAAAGAGTTCTTCCTTTCCAGAGAACTTCAAGCTCAATGAAATAAAAAAAAAAAAAAATGGAAAACCACCTAATTCCCCCCAAAGAGAAGTTAAATCTCACAATGTTAAAAAAATAAACAAAAAACCTCAAAATAGAACAAAACAAAACCAAAGGGAAAAAAAGAAAAAACCAACAAAGCGTGAAATAAAGAAAAACTTGTATAAGGCTTTCTGCTGCATACAGCTTTTAAATGGTGCCAACAAATGTTTTTGCATTCACACCAATTGCTGGTTTTGAAATCGTACTCTCCAAAGGTATTTGTGCAGATCAATCCCATACACCAGTTTGGTAGTGTGTCTCTCCCACGGGCCTACCTTCTCATGTAGGATCCATTGAGAGACTGTTTGGACATGCCCGTGTTCATGTAGCCGTGGTGGCCCGGAGGAGTGTACATCATGTTACTGTGGGGTGCTGTCTGCATTGGCTGCTGTGCATATGGCTGAGTTCCCATCATTCCCATCTGCATCTGCATAGGGTACTGAGGGGTTTGATTCATATACCCATGATTACTGTGATACCCACTATTCATCATTGGCTGGGACATACTGTAACCATTCATAGCATTAAGGGTATTCATATTCATGTTCACTGAATTGACATTATAAGCAGGGGCTGGCATCAAATTTACACTCATGTTCATGCCACGCTGCATTGTTAAGGTCCGTGCAGGCCCTTGCATGGCCACAGTCTGTGAAGCTCGCCCATAAATCTGTGGTTGATGGGCTGCAGCAGCAGGTGGCAGAGGTGTGGATTTGGTTCTTACAGAGACATGACCTTTGCTGGCCATCTGAGTCTGCAGTCTTTGGGTGTGAGATATTCCAATATTTGATGAAGTCATATTACGCTGCAAAAGGGGAGGTGGCAAATTCATGGGAGGAGGAGTAAGGTTGGGGGGAGGGGTCATGGTAGCCTGTGCTTGGGGTCCTCCAGGAACAGCATGTGGAGACTGGGAAAGCTGAACAAGCCCTGTGTTACTTAAGGGGGCAGACAAAGAGGCACTGTTTGCATAGGAAGTTACAGCAGCTGAATGGCTGTAAGGCAAAGAATGATCCATAAGCGTATTAGTTAACTGTTGCAGTTTAGCAAGGCTGAAGGTGGCAGATGGCTGTGAGTAATGCCCTGCTCCAAATTCACTCTGCCCCATTCTTTCATATAATCCAATGTTGGCATTGCTAGTCTCAGGGATTTCAGTCAACTGCATAGGTGGAGTGAAATTAGCAGCCATGCTGCACTGGGATAACTGTTGGTTGCCGCTTGGAGGCCTTTCAACAACACAACCTTGGGGAGATTTTACATTACAAGTGGGAGGAGAATTGATGTTTGCTTGTTGCATCATACTGCAGCTTCCATTAATATTAGATATCTGCTGGGTCACTGCACAGCTACTCTGTGTTAGGTTACTAGATGTAAGGCTGCTGTATGAGCAACTGTTTTGAGAAGAGTTGTTTCCACAGATACTACTACCCATTGTAGAATCGTAACTGCTTGGGTTTTCATAGTTTTCTGTTGTGCTCTCAATACTTCCTAAGTCACTAAACCCACTATCCACAACTTGCTGCGAATGATCAGAAACGGAGGGAACATCCATCATTGGGCTGGTCTCCATGTTCTGCAGAGACGGCACAGAAATGGCACTTTGATCTGGGCTGATCTGAGCATAGCTGTTCTCTAAAGGAGCAACATTTGGACTATTTACAGAGCGAACTGACTGGCTGGGATGAGAGTGCACAGATGAAACTGGGCTGCTGTGGTCAGACTGCTGACAGTCATCCAGTGTGGTCATCTGGGGACTTTGGTCATTGTGGGCATAGTTCTGCAAACTTCTACAGGCCTCTTGAGTCTCTGCACAGTCCTGAAACGTATCTTCATGTTCACTTGCTTCTTGGGTTAGAGACTGTACTGCCTGAACTGTCTCCGAGTCAATCTCCATGGTCTCAGTACTTTCTCCCTTGAAGTCGGAATGTAATTCTTCACCAGCTTTTTGGTCCTGGTTGCTGTCTGCATGATCATCATCAGATTCAGGCACTGGGTCTGAATCTGTAGCAAGTTCTTTCTGGTCACTTGCACACTCATCAGCTGCAAGGTCAACACCACAATCCATTAACTCCTCCTGATTTGAATTACCAGTTTGAACATTTACGTCTAAAAAAGATTGCTGGGTTTCCAGCATTTCTTTGAAAGCTTCACCAGGCAATTCCTCTTTCTCCACTTCTGTTGAACCCATGTGACTATCATCTTCATCATCTGCATCATGATCCTCATTGTGAGAAGGTTCTTCATCTTCCTCCTCCTCTTCCTCCTGATCATCCAAATGCACAGACTCTTCTTTCTGCACAAAAACTTCTGCTTTGTCTTTTTCTTGATCTTTTGAATTGATTCCATCTTCTTCTATGCTCCTTTCTTCTTCCCCAGCTTTCAAAGTATCATTTTCTTGTTTTTCAAAGGGCTCACTGGGTGGATGCAGAGGTTCAGGTTCTACTTCTTTTGCCTCATCATCTGGTGGTGGTAATGCTTCAACAGGTTCTTTAATAGCTTCCTCCGTAACAGCGGGAGCTGAACAGGGCTTGTCTTCAGCTACTTCCTTTTGTTCTTCCAGCAGCACCTGATAGTCAGGCTCCATGGGAGTCTCAGGTGGAGTGTACAAATTAAGCTTAAAGCCAGGTTTTCTTTCTTTGCTCTGCCTCCATTTAGATGGACCACGTTTAACTCCTTTGGGCCAACCCTGCTTACTCTTTAAAGGTTCAAGATTGTCTTTAGTGCTTTCTTCCAACACAGCTACATCCTCTGTATTATCTTTGGGAGGTAATAGAGAAAAAAAAAAGTGTCTTAGATTGCAGACTAATCAATATTTTCCAAAATAAATCTGAAAATAATTTATAAACTCAAAATGTATTAAGAAAGTACGAAACAAGAGTTATAAACAGGTCTCAAAACACAGTAGAACAATGTAGTATCTACAGCTCAAACACACTACACAGGTATGTTATGGTTTGGTGGCCTTTTAACAGACACTGTCAGAACCACCAATTATACGTTAGAAAACTCCCAGAGATTTAAATGACAAGACATGCAAAGTAAAGCAAATACTGTCCAAATATTTGATTTTAGAAGTATGCCTTCACTTTATATAGACATTAATCTAACACACATTCATCTTTTTTGACAGTAATGACATGAAAGTCTTGAGTTTCTTCTTGGACCATTCTGGAGGACAAGCCATAAAAAAATACATAATCATGGTTTAATACCAATACTGAAAAAAGGTGGTTAATTCTAATACTTTCTCATGGCCAGCATATTACGACATGGTTCACAAGACATGACAGAAGGCAAAAGATCATTAAAATTATATACAGAGTGTATCAGAACACTAAACTAATCCAGTGACTATAAAAAAAGGACCCAAACACATTAATCTCTTTCCTTTCTCCTCAGATACCACTTACACATACTTCAGAAAAAAGGAGAATTATCAAGATATAACATGTTGCACTTGGGAGTGTAATGGCTTCAGTGATACTTCTATATTGTGATGACGTGGTCCATGGGCAAATAAAAAACATCAGTCTAGTTAAAACAGGGCAAACTTGACCACTGGAACACAGCTGGAACTTTCTATTAGTTTAAATAATTTCTCTTGAGAAGCTGGAAAAAGTGGTAATATTCTAATGTACCACATCACACAAGAGCTGTTTGAAATAGAAATCAGGCCATGAGCCCTCAATTGAGGATCACAAGGATAGAACTTCGCATGCAATTACAAAAATACTGAAGTAGTACCTACTGGCTTCTTAGAGAAAACACACAGACCTGAGAGTCTAGTTCATTCTAGAATTAAAACTCATAAGCATAATTTAAGGGCCAGGACATCAAGGAAAGAGTGCACCTTAAGAATAGCTCATTAGTTTTTTCACTATCCATCCATTAACTTTTATGACAGGAAATATCCTTGAAATCAAACTAGAAAAGTAGCTTTGAAAGGACACAGTTAAAACTGTCTCTTTCAGGGAAATAAAACAGGATCCTTGTGCTGAGGATATACTATGCCAGAGAAGCACCAAACATTTCATTGAATTATCAAAAATACTGAATAGAAAGATATTTGTGTAAATCAAATCTTACTTTTTGCTCGTATCCTTTACCACTGATACAAAAACTACACTGGACAATATTCCAGTGATACCCTTTGCAATATTGAATATGAAATGCCCTGCTGTAGGGACACAGAAGTTGTTTTTGACAATATGACAAAAACTTTAATGCCCCAGACTGGATGAGATTTGTTTCCTGAACACAAAAAGCAAATTATTATAATAATAACAACAGCTAAAAACAGCTCATTAAAAATTTCCAGATGCATGACTAAAATAAACAGTTCTTTTGAAGGCAACCCAGCAAAATTATTTTTGTGAATATATGAGAACACTTTAAGTTTACCTGTACAATTTTCATCACTCCTGTAACAATTAATATCTTTCTCCTCCTTATTCTGCTCTTCTTCCTCCTGCTTCTGCTGCCCAGGCTGATAGTCAAAAGCTTTTCTAATCACAGGCTTCAAGTCATCATCTTCTCCATCCATCTCACAGGTGGGTTCCAGCTGTGGCATGGGACGCTCTTCATCTGAGTTATCAAATGGCTCATTCAACACTTCGGTTGTTTCAGAAATTGTCTCTGTTGTAACACTGCTGTTTATCCTTCTGCGTTTACGGCCCCTTTTCTTTTTCAGTATGAAAGGTCTCTGAAAAACAATTCCACAAATCAAACTCTTCCTACATTCCCATTCATTAACTGATTTTGGACATAAATTTTAGTAGAGTGAGTTTACAACAATTTACTCATTCAAAAAAACACTTTAAATAGCATCAAATTCAAATGTAGATAGAATCTAAAAGTAAAATGTCTAAACAGTTAACATAGGTATGTATACATGTATACAAACCTTACTGTAAGTGAAAATCAAGACTAGAATTTTCTTTATATTGTAATGTCTTTTACCTTCTTCTGTCAAATAATATTCACAGTGCTGTTACATAAATTGTACTCACACATTTTTCCTCTGTAGATTTATAATTCCACAACAAACTTCACAAGTACCAAAGCTTATTTTCCACATTTTGCCTTTGTTATTTTTAGAAATAAGTATGTACACAGAAAAATAGATAACATCGAAGAAGTGCACCTCGAGCATCTACAGTTGGCTGCTATTAAAAAACTGTTCAAGATTTTGTTTTTCTATTATTATACATTCTCAGAGATTTATGGTTCCTTTAAAGTAAGCTCACCTAACGTATAACCAAAGGGACAGTACAATTTCCCAGTTCTCACCTGAGACACCTAAATACAAAGGCTAAGGTGCGTGCTTTAAAATTTTGGGTTTCTGAAGTTCACTAATTTAAGCAACTCAAAGAATTGATTTTTAGGGAAATTAAGAAATTAGTGCAAACATGGCAGTAACCAGAATTTAACATTTAAATTAGAAGAATATGGGTTAAAAAACCCACCCTTTTGTTTTAACAACATTTATTTTAAAAAACAGTATTCCCCTTTTAGGAGTTTCTATATTAAAAAAAATAAACCCCACAAGCTGGACTCCATCTTAACACAAAAAAAGAAAAGAAAGAACCATTAAGATATTGAACCAATACCAATGCCAAACACCAGAGGGCAATCTCTAGTTTTAAAATTAACAGAAAATTCAGATTTCTTTAATGTCACTAGTGTTTTATAGTTCTGTGAAAAATCCAAAAGACAAAAGTTGGATGGAGTGCAGAAAAGAGAGGAGTAGTTAAGTGTCCAAATAACACATAAAGGATTAAAACAGTCTAATAAATGCTTGCAAAAAACCAGGTTGTTATTTTGATGGCAATGATTTGATTGAAATGAGAGACAAATGACTTTGAACCAAAGCACTGAAGTGACCCACCTTTCTCTTCATGGCCAGGGACTGGGGCTTTGTCAGCCGGGGAGGCGAACTCTGCTGATTCTCATCCCCGCCATCCTCCTCACTGCTTTCTTTAGATTGTTCTGTGGATTGCCCTCGCTCCCCCACCACGGCCACACTTTCTGGAGATCGTAAATATTTATTTTTAGATTGTACTTTTGCAGGTGATTGCCTACTATTAGTTCTTGTGGAGAATATTTCTTGCTCTTCCTTTTCCCAGCAGCTAGCTTGTTCCATAAGACGCTCAGCCTGAAGGGTTGAGGTTAAAATAACAGGTCACTGAAACAGCATTTACTTATCCATATCCTTTGCATTCAGCTAAATAGTTAAAATAATTCAACCCTTATTAGCACTGCTGGCTAACCTAGCAACAACATTTCAGCTGAATCATCTAGTTGTTCCTTTACAACAGTTAACAGATAACAAACCAAAGAAGATTGCATTTCATGGGATATTTAGCACTATTAATGATGCAGCGAATTGATTTAAGTCCTTTAGCAGTACATTACATGCCCAATGACTGGATCACTTTGAGCAAGTTGAGAACACAAAGAATCGATTGAAAGTGCAGCCCCTGAGCTCTGCACCAAATTTGATCTGATTACATGCTCTTTGACTACCTCGAGAGTGATAAATACAGCTCCATGACAAGTGATTCACATTTTAGGTTTTCATATGCATCCCCTCAAAGTTACCATGTGTTGCTGCACAGCTTCCAAAAATTCTGCATTACAATAGCAATATGTAGTGGTCAAAGCTAAATCTGCTCTATTTAAGACAGTCTAATGTTGAATATTCAGAGTTATGAAAGCCAAAGGAAGAGAAATTCAGAAGATAACTCTGATATTACCTCCTTTTCTGCTTCCCTCTCTTCTTCAGAAACTGCAGCATTAGAAACTAACAAAGGAGTCCATCTCAAGCTTTCGGGATCTACTTCATTGATACGTGGATTCGCTTTCAGTTTCTCCATATGACTTGAAATCAGCTTTTCCCTTCTAATAATTACAAATCTACAATCAAATAAACAGCAATTTAATTTAGAAAGTGATCACCTGGAACAGCCTTTCTATAGTTGACATCCTTTTGCAAAACCACATGTGAAAAAAGATGGATAAATGAAAGGATCCATCAAACTAAAAATATCAGCTTACATGTAGTGATAACATCCTTACACTACCAACTGTTTACTGAGAGGAAGTGAAGGAACAATAGTTTATGAAGTGAAAGCTCAATATTAACCATCACTAGGGCAAAAGAGCAAAGTGAAGGTTTTATAGTTGACTACCCTAAAACTAATTCAAGAAGTTTACTGTTGGCACTTGAATCACTGCCAGAAGAATTTCTAATTTTAATATTACATACAAACATAGATAGAAAACACTGTGGATCATCAAATCAAGAGTGAGAAAGTCATAATGTTACAGCTGAAGATGTAAATTAATGGGACAAGAAAGCAAGTCAGAAGTACAGGTTTTCTAATGAAGCACACAAATATACTTTAGTCCTGTGCTAATGAAGTACAAAATGACTTTCCAATTAATATGAAGTGGCATATCAAACGTAGGTAAAGACTAATCAAACAGCACAGTATGCCAATATATTAGCATGTGTCCCATCAAACTCCCCTGTTACAAAGAACTATACAATTCTAAACAAGGATTAACAAGCATTTCAAATGCTTTAAAAATCAGGTTGGTGAAGTAGCAACATTCTCTCAGTGAAAAACAAAGTTTAAAAAAAGAAATCAGATCCAGAACCTTTTTCCCAGAATTGTGACAAACTTTTACTTCACTACATGTATGAAAAATTTCCCTTAAAATACATTTGTCCTCAGGTTGTCCATAACTAAGTACTCCAGAAGAGGTTTAAGGCAATGCCAGTACTACTCTTACTACTCTCATACACTATCTTGTAAACCAATCTCCTTTTGGAAGACTTACATTCTTGCTGATTCAAAAATTAATAGTTTTGAATGCTAGTGATGGGACACATAAAAATTACTGAGGCTGAACTTGTTCTGATTTTAATTTCATTTTTTTGGCAAGCCAGTGTTTGTAAGGTAGCTTTGCTTAATTATAAAGTTTCTATGATTGGAATATTCAGAAAGACTTAAGATCATCTTCAGAAACACAAATACGATTGAAAGCCATTTAAGGCATTTTATGGAAAGAAACAGACCAAACAACAACCCAGAAAAGTTCTAAAATACCAATCAAGAGCATGAAGAAAGAAGATATTCACAAAACAGGAATTCACCTTCTCAGTGCACTGACTTTCAACATTGATCATAACATTAAACAGAAACTTATATTACCAGTACCTTGAGCAGGAGCACTTCATGTAGAGCTGATCTGATCCCATGGTTTACATGAATTCAGCAATGATTGAAAGAGGAGATGTGGAAAGAGACTGCCACCCACAAACACCATTTTTTCTCTTACTGGTATTCAAAGCAAAATATTTGCACAGCAAGAGCTGGGAACACTTAGGGAAGATTATACTGAATGAAACAAAACGCTTAACTGAAAATGTTTTGAGCTGGCCACATAATTCTAATAACCATTAACATGAAAGAGTATCCAAAAAATCCCCAGGAAGAAAAGCTCTTTATGTAAAACCCACCCATACTGACTTCTATGGTGAGATGGTTATCACTCATTTTCAAGTCAAACTTCTACACAGACATTTTTCACATTAACTGTTTTGTAAGTAGAGAATGTTTTGTCACAGTATTTAAAAAAATTTTTACAAGATTCACTGACCTATCTTCTCTTTTATCTATCATGCTATGTTGCTGCAGGGTTGTGGCAATATCATGTGGACACATTCCAGTAGCTCGGCTCATTCCTTTGATGCTGATTTGTTTTTCATGGTGGCAATTCAGGTATTCCAATATGACACTTTTCCAATAAGCCAGGTAGGAGAGACGACCCAGATCAGACAATGGCTTTTCAGGGGATCCTGCTTGACCCTCTCTTCTAGAAAGTAAATAACCTAGAATAAAAACAAACAGGATACCTTATGGAGATAACAGAAGCAAGGAATTCTAACCAGCCCATAACGAAGTTGGAATTAATACAGAAGATCATCAGCATGACTGATTGAACTACTGCAATGTCTTGCAATTAAATAAATCCTCTCTATAAAAGAGAGGAGTTTTTATCATTACAGTGACATAGGAAAGATCAAATTCTTGTGAGTGACTCAGATCTTACATTATGAGAATCAAGCATTAACCAAAAACCTTTTTCTAATTGTAAGGCAAGGATGAGAAGAAAAAGCCAATATGTTTTGGAACAGTTCCCATCATACATCTTCTCTTTCAGAACTACAACTCTCTAGTCTTTTGAGATACATTACATCACTGTCACAGCAGCAATGTTACTGTTAAATCACTTACATCACTGAAGCCAAGAACCTGCAGAAGAATTTGAAGAGGAAATATCATAGGTAATATCAGTTAAGCCATTTTTCTTCAAGAAGCCCCAAGTGACATAAGTTTTTGATTAAACAGCTAGAAGTTGTATTTTGGGGGTAACATAATTCACAAGATTAATTACTTGGAGAATTAGTTAAGAAAAATAATTTAAAAATAATCTCCCTTAATTTACGTTTAAGAACATTCACATAGCTCCTGCTTGCAGTCTTCAAGACAGTAGTTGATTCACTATTACACAATGTATCACCTTCATTTTATATTCTGCGTATGTTCTAGTCCCTTTTAACTCTTCAGCTTTAGGAGCATTTTACAATTTAGAGTAGAACACACCTGCTTGGAGATACCAGAAGATGCCACCTGTAAAACTAATTCAGTATAGAGGAAAAAAATAACACAATAACAGGTATCCTTCCATAGTAATTCATCCCTCTATGATACATATTCTGCATTGTGCCTTTCCAAAAACTGCCAGCACAGAGGCCTTAAACAACCGGGTTCACAAAATGCCTTCTCTGCCATAGGCACACACACTATGTTTATGGAATTACATTACTCAAAGTCATTTGGAATCCACCAAAATATACAGTTCTTGTGCCTTCCAATACTCTTAAAATACTTATTTTCCCTTCAAATTTTTCACTTTTATTTTTCAAAGACTGATGTAAAGCATATCTAGTCCAGTCATGTCATGTTTGTTAAACAAATCCTACTAACATCTTCACAAAGTTCCTTCTAAGCAAATCAGCTATGCATTAAAAGCATATGATTAACATCCAGGTTGAAGAGAAGCAATGGCCGTGTCCTTATTTTGCTGTAGGGTCTACTATACACAAACCACACACAGAGGTATTTTTCTTAGTTTAAACCATGAAATACATATACAAATATATGTCTCTTTATTCTGCCTGAAACGTTGGTCTTCCCTTTCTTGGACACAATACCAAAGGCCCACAACAGAATTTAGAAAAAACATAGACAGATGTGCATCATAGTCTAATGTCCAGATTGCCTAAAGAAACTTACCTAGAAAAGCAGATGTCCTACTACATCTCAAGTGATCACAACATAGATACTGAAATAAGTAGTGTGCCTTTCATATCTACCAGCATGATTTGTGATAAAATGCCAGAGCTTCAGGAATACCATCCCACATCTGCCTACTCCTACAGAGCTACATGAAGCCTGCCTACATTTGCATAGTACCACTGGAAATTCAGCAAGTAAATTTATTTTGTTTTACAGAAGAAACACTACCATAAAAAATAAGGAAAATAAGGTATTTTAGCATTTTAAATTGCAGCATATTAAACTTTTTTATAACTAGAGGATAGATTTTAGTACATCTTGGCACTACATGCAACCATGGTTGACAGGAAACATCAAATTCCACATTCAGCATCCTGAATAGTTTAAAGGTAAAGAATTATTGCTTTAATTCCAACTGCACAAAAGCAGACCTACAGTGTATAGCCTATTCTGCCTAATTTTAAATCAAGCTTCACTTGTATCAAGAAAGAATTCTGGATCACCTGGTGTACAACATACAAACCCAAGTTTTATGCTAAGATGTCCATAAAAAACCCTGCAAAACTGAGGTAGGTAGCAAAAGTAGTGATAGAAGCATCAGCATAGGAAAAGAGAGAAAGAATAATCTAGATTTTAATAATAAATCCATGAGGAGAACTTAAGAGTTGCTTCAAGAACATTTACAGTTTACCCTACCAACGTGACATTCAAGAAGCCTTGGGCACTAATAGAAAGTGTAGGGTATTTGCAAGACCTAGGTTTCATTGTTGCATTTCACTAGACTTTGAAGTTACTTGGACTCTACTTCCATTTTCCTCATAGATAAGGGGGCTACACCTATAATTTCTTGGTAAGCATATTATGAAGCTGAATAAAAAAACACTAATCAAACAGGAGTTTGGAATCTTTACTTAGGCAGCCACAAGCATCTTTAGAGTTTTACTAAACTGGCTCACTGTATCTTTCCTGTGTCTGAGGATTTAGAGACTAGTTCTTAGTGGTCATTTTCACTCTACATAAAAGCAGTGAACTGTTACCTACATGGCAGTAACATCTGTCAGTATTCTTCCTCTACCTTTCTAAAATAGAACCTATGCTTTTCCAAAATGCTCACATTCTAGAGGATTAAAAATACAAATCAGAGTTAACAATTTTGGTTGCATGTAGCAAGAACTGAATGGAATGTCTCTCTTAACAGATTCTGTGATTTGAATAACATCTATGAAATTAAACTTACCAAAGAGATGTCAAGTAATTGATCTAAGTTGCAGGTAAATAAAAACTCTGATCTTGGTAGTTCATGTATCTATCCTGAAGCATCTGAAATGAGCACAATATGCCCTTGTTAAACAGACACCCGCAGCCTCACTGTGCCTGCCTAACCTTAATAATGGATAGCTTCCAAGTGGCAACCTGAAAGAACCTTCTTAAGGTGTAATCCTTGATATCAGATTATGAACAGTAGCAACACCCACAGGACAAAACAGAGCTCTTCAGCACCCTACCCGTGGAGTAAACAAGCCAGACTGTATACTACACAAAAAACTAAAACCTCAACAAAATAGAAGACCTAATCAAGAACAAAGAGTTGTCTATCTTATCTTCTGGGCATATGAGTGATAGTATCACAAAATTCAACAGCCAAAGTATCAATAATGATTTTTATTTCTTGCCTTATCTCTATCCTCCACAGCAAAGCAATGCACCAAATGTGATTTACAGCCTTTGATTTCTGTCACACAAACCTCCCCAGGATCACTGAGGTTTCATCTTACCCAAGATTTGAAACAATTAGAAGAAATGAAATCTGAGGAAGGGAAAGGTTGTATACATACATAAATTTTATGCCTTCAACACAAATTAAGGAGATAATTAGGCATTAAAACATACATTTAAACAAACTGACTTGTAATTATCCAGTAATTTCAATCTACAGGAATCCTAGTAATGCCCCTGAAATAGCTACAGATCCACAACACACTTATATAACTTTAATATATTTGTGCCAGTCTCCAGAAACTTTCAGCTACTTAACTACCAATTCTTTTGATACTTGGTTCTGTATCTTCATACAAGTTAAATAGCATGAGAACAGAAGCCTAGGCTTGATAACAGGACAGTGGCCATTTGGAATCTTTACTTCATATAAATGAAAGGAATTGAGTCTCCACCTCTTAAAGTACAAAGGATCAAAATTTAAGAGAAGTATAATAGCAAAACCCTTAATTTATTGCTTATCTATTAAAATACCCACAAAACAAAGACTGTATTATCATCTCTGAATAATCTTCCAATAATTCTTTATGTATGCTTGCAATACATAATGACAGAATCAGACTGAGGAATAGACCATATGAAGAAGCAAATTCAAATCTGTTAATCTGGCTTTCAACATGGAGTCTCTTTTGCCACTGTAATTTGCCTCACAGCAAAACAAAAAAAAAGCAAACTTAAATGATTCCAAACTTGCTTAAGCCTAGTCTGCATAGAAAGGCCATTTAAAAATCAGGTGTCAGCTCACAAGCAGCAATAACATAGCTTAGAACAAGTGTCAGGTTGTCAGTCATGAAACAGCTACTGAGCTGCTAGAACATACAGCAAGCCATAATAAGGAAGTGGCAGCAGCTTCCCCTTGCCTGTCATCGGTATGTGCTGGGATACAGCAGCGAACTGTAAATGGCTGAACTGAACCAAGGACAATACAGGCAGCAGAGACAGTGTGCCATTCTAAAGGACAGACTTGCTCTCCAGACCACTGCAATCAAATTCATTTGAACAGCTACACAGAATTGCAGTCAATGCATAACTCCATTTCATCTCTCTTGACCTGTTCAGCTATACTTACAATAGGAAAACACCACTGATCCTATAAACAGGCCACAGGAAAGTTGCTGTTGTCAAGTGTCACATCATCAAATCCACTTCAAAGTGCACCTATGCAAGACAGTGCTTAAATGACAGCCTGCTCAAAGCACTTTACTTCCAAACTTCCTGAAGCTTACTTCAAAGTTCTCCTATCATGAGGCATTGTAATGCTAACAAGCAAGTTTCAGAAGACAGCACATAGGGAAATACCTGTAGACACAATTTATACAGACCTATGTTATGTGACTTATACCAAGTCATATGCTCTATAACCTTTGTGATGCACAACCATTTATTTCACTCGTTCATCTTCCTTGAGTTTCTTGAAGATGCATGTAACATTTGTCATCCTTCAGGAACTGAGGATGTTCCCAATTGCCTTGACTTCTCAAAGTCAGTGGGGAGAGGTGTTGGAGTCATGTCAGCCAGTTTCCTAGGATGAATCTCACCATTTTACTTAAGCACTCTGTAACTTGATCTTCCTCTAGCAAAGATGGCATCTCACTCTGCTGCTTAAATTCTGTCACACCAGAGAACAGGTCCTCCCAAGAAAGCACAGAGTACCTCAGATCTCTTCTGAGATCCACACCAAGCCCCTCTGTTGTCACACTATGCTTATTCCAGTCATCAGCAGGGCCATCTTCAGCTTACTCTCCCTGTGGGT